GCAAGCAGCACACACATCTTTTGGGAACAAGTCAATGAGTCCTTAGTCTACACTGCCAGCAATAGAAAGTAAGAGAAAGGGGAGCTAGAGCAATGGCTCGGTGGGTGAAGCTCTTGCCATGCAAGCCTGAACCTGAGGTTGAATCCCGGAAGTCGCTGTTCCAGAGGGTCAGAATCTATGACCGACCATAATGGCAGGTAGCTGGCAGCAGGTAGAGTGCTGGAGCAGTAGCTGAGTACTCACATCTGATCCACAAGCACGTTGCAGGTGTGGGAATCACTGGGAATGGAGTGGGTGTTTGAAACCTCAAAAGGCTCCCTGAGTGACACACCTCCTAATCCTTCCCAAATAGTTCCACTAACTGGGGACCAAGTATTCTAACATATGAGCCTATGGGGGCCATTCTCATTCAAACCAAACCACCACCAACTAGCCTTGTCTATTCAACTGCAAACAACAAGAGACTTTGTCTCAAACAAGGTAGAAGGCCAGGGCCAACACTGGAGGTTGTCCTCTGACCTCTACACATATACTGTGGCATATGTGTGCCTCTGTTTACACACATGGGTGTACATGCACATACATTCTACACATATGCAAACAAGATTAAAAAGATAAATGGCAAAATAATCATTAAAATATAATGGTAAGCAGATGTTAGACAGATCACACTTGTGAGCCCAGAACTTGGGAAATAGAGGCAGAAGAATTACTCTGAGTTTGATGCCAACAGACTATGTAGTGATCTATGTACATGCACAGCATTCCAAGTCAGTCTGACATACATCATGAGAACATGTATCAAAACAACAACACCACACACACACACACACACACACACACACACACACACACACACACACCCCACATGCATAAACATCCATACAATGAGAAAACAGCAACACTTGCACCTTGAAAGCAGAAATAAAAGCAATCACACAACTATAAAAATAAATGTGAATGAACAAAATTCTGCTACTAGAACACAGAGAATTTCAAGATGAATGGAAAACTCAGTTCAACCACAAAGCACCAAAATTAGTGTGAATTCAAAAGTTAAAACATGCATAATAATTGTAAAAAGTAATAAGAACAAAGAGAAAAATGCCAATAGAAACAGTATTTCAAGGAAAAATGGATAAAGTTGACTAATCAATGAGAGTTTTACCTCTTCTTCAACAGATTACATACAGAAAGTTAGTAATTGGCTTGTAACTTTCTCACTCTCTCCTCCCAATGCCCTAGCCCCATGCTTTCCATGTCTATGGTAACATTCACTAATTCCCTGCCCTGCTTCTCAATCTGGCCTGTTCTTCCTCTAGGGAGACATCTTCCAGAATCGTAAAAATGCTTCTCCATGCTCAGTATCTGGCTCAATCTTACCCTAAAAATAGATTCGTTATTTCCAGGAAGGTACTTGTTGTTGACCTATCGAACATGAACACACTAATTTATCCCAAATAGAAAATATGGGTTTAAATTTTAAATATCTCATAGAAAAATGAAAATATTACATCAACTAATAACTTTTAAAATTTTTGTATAAGGCAAATTTAAATAAAAATGGCAAAATTTGGTAGGTCATATGAGACCAAATTGAGAATTCTTTATAAGTAGAGAGATATTTTAGAGAGAAAAATGTGATACAAACGCTAAAAAAATCAACCAGGTGTCTACTTAAGCCATATCTCAAAAGAAGAATAGCTAGTGAATATTCAAATAGTGTTTCTAACAAGAAAATAAATACAAATTAAAACAATATCTTCAAACTTTTGATTTTCAAATTTGTAAACTTTTTTCTTAATATTATAAGATACAGTGATGGCTAAGATGAAATGAATTGAAAATTCTTGTGCTCTGCTTGCTTGCAGCAGAAGTACAATTGTCCAAACTTTGGGGAAATTAGTACAAATTTTCGGGAGTGATAACCCCCAAATCACTACTCATTTACTGGAAAATTTCACCAAATGTTAAGTACTGTGTACATAGCACATAGACTCTGACAGCTCCTGTTTATGTGATTCTTATGCCAAGTATCGTTCTATGTGTTCCTCACAAATATGGAGTTATTTTCTCTGGTATTACTTTTCCATTTCATAGGTTAAGAAGAACAGGAGAAAGGGTGCAGAAGGCTGTTTAAAGGCCCTTTAGTAATGACCTTTCTCATTGCTTTGAAAATGAGCTGATAAAAGCAACTTGGGAAAGAAAAGGGTTTATGGAATCACGTTTTAAGCAGATGCTGTCCATCACAGTAGGGAGGAAATGGTGGTGGGAGTGTGAGGGAGGTGGACATACTGTGTTCTCAGTCAGGGAGTAGGCAGCTGTGAAAGTTGGCACTCTTCTGGCTTCCTCCTATTCATTTCTTTTGCACCCTCAGCCCATGGGACAGTGTCACCCACAGTCATGGGGATTTTTCATCCTTAGTCATACCTTTCTGGGAAGACCCTCACAGAGACATCTAGTTGTCCTGCAGGACAGACTCATGCCTGGGGGTAGCAAAAAGGACTGTGAAAAGTTGAGTGCTACAGTTGTTCAAACAAGAGATCCAGCAGTTTGACTTGGTCAGTAGATAGGGAGACATGGATGAATTTAACAAACACTTTGAGAAAATGATTGCCAAATAGAGATATGTGGGGGAAGGAGAAGGCTAGAGTGCAATAATAATGCTCAAGTGTGATTAAATGGTGACTTGGAGATGTCATTTATTGAGTAAGAATTCAGGTTTGGATACAGTAAGTTCAGATATTGAGAAGCATCCATTTGTAAGTTTCAGTTAGTCCAAGACCTTTTGGATGCAAGTAGTTGGATGTCCAGATAAGACAATTTGGAATGAAGAATAGATGTATATTATTTCATATCATGGGAGTGGCTGAAGTTTTCTGTAGTAGAAGATGATTGGGCATTTGGGATGGCTGAGTCTACCTCCAAATCTGGAGGATTCTCAAAAAAATGGTAAGGTTGGGATTCAGAAGGAATAAGCAAGGGACAGAGCAAAAGGGACCCTGAGAACCAGGAGGTAATCGGACATATAGGTTCTTCAGAACTGTGGTGTGATCATGAGAAATCTATGGTATGGCATGCTGTTCCATGATAGAGTGTTGTAGGCCTTTGCATGTAAGTGTTACTGAAGAAGTGAGCAGAGGTGGCCAAAGAGAGGGAGTAAGAATGATGCTTTGATACCTTCTATGGGAAGGAAAGCTGGGAAGAGGAAAGAGGGAAAAGTAGCTGCAAGGAAATTTAGGCAGAGAAGAGTTCTCTGGTGCTTGTGTGAATTTCACTTTAATACTGGGAGGGACAGACCACTGGGAAAGACAGACTGAACTTGATCATATGTCTACTGGTAAGAAAGTTCTGCACAGTGGATTTACCTCCCTTTGTGTTATGTGAACCAAACTATGAAGCCAACAAGTGAGTGGGATGCAGAGAGGACATTCACACTTGGGTAATTTGGAAAAATAGACAAGAAGTAATGTATAGAAATGGGGGAGGGCTTAGTGTTGCTAGAGAAATGGGGGCAGGCCTGTTTTCTGAGAACTGTCAGTGGTAAAATGCTTGACTGCTTCCAGTTTTTAGCTAATTGTACAACATGGAAAAATGTCAGCTGGGGACTTAGTCGGGTTGAACTTCCATCAGGAATTGCTGGAGAGAAGAAGGTAGTGGAGAACATGTTTTTTATTTTTTACATAAACTTTGGTTGTGGGATGATGAATTGGCTCAGCAGATAAAAGCACTTGTCACCAAGCCTTTTGACCTGAGTTCAATTCCTGGGACACACATTGTGAAATGAGAGAACGACCTTCTCAAGGTGTTTTTGATGTCAACATTTCCCCTATGGCATGTGTATTCATATAAATATATCCACAATAAATAAATGTGATTAAGAATAAAATTTGGTGATGTGTAGGCATTTGGTCTATTCATAAAACTTCTTAAGAAGGGAGTAAGGGCTGGGGGTCATGCAATAAATATGCTGGAAAGAGGAAAAGTGTTCAAGGAGATGCTCAGATTGACATGATGACTCATCACAAATGTTTTCAGTAGAGGAAAGTTTTTCCTACCACGCTTGATGCCTTAACCTCTCGGGGACAAAGTCTTCTATATGGCTTTCTAGTTAAATCTGCTGTAAAATTTCATCAAGTTGAAAGTGCTCTTCCTACCCACACATGGATTTTGGTGTGAGATTTGTCAGGGAGGTGTGTGGGTGTATTCTCTTCTAATCATTCCTCACGGCTAGCTGCACTATGAAAAATTGATTCCCCGATTTGCCAGGCAAATGGCTGGGGCTACAACCCTCCTCCACCTGGAGATAATTAGGTTTAATCAGCAATTTTACAATAAATAATGGTTCTGTGAACTTGGGCTAGTCCCAAAGAGTAAAGTTTTGCATGATAAAATATGCAAAATGGCCAGATACATATGTGTGCATGGATATGAACATTTTATATATATGTGTGTGTGTATATGACTTACATTTGTATGTACACATATGCATATGGTCTTCATAGATGTTTATGAAATATTCAAAGTCTATGACTGCTATGACCTAGTCCTTAGAGGAAGGAGAGAAGATGAACCTCCTAATGGACCTACTATATTCACTGGAAACTGTGCTTTGTAGAATTACTCTTTTTATCCAAGGTAGATAGATATGGGATTCCATCACATTACATGGAGATTTCCTTGTTTGATTGGTTTTTATTTTTGTTTTGCTTGTTATTTATGTGTTTTGAAACGGAGTATAGCTATATAGCCTAGGCTAGGTTCACACTTACAGTGTAACCTGGGCTGGCCTGGAACTCACTGTTCTTCTATCTTAGCTTCCCAAGCATCGTGCTTACAGGATTGTGACATTATGGTATGCCTCAGTTTGTTGTTTGTCACTGGGCAAACACCTGCATTTTCAATGTATGTGGGGGAGTAAAGCCTGAAAAACATTTTGTTATCCCAAATCAGAACAGAAGGAAACTGTAAGATGGACTCTGCTAAGGCATCTCGTTTACCTGTGTGGGTGCTGGTGTCGTCGAGCTCAACACTGGCAGAGGGTATGTGGGGCTGGAGGCTGTCCTCACCATAGGCTTTCAGGATGTACTTCTCCAGCACACCTTTAACCATAGTGGGTTCATCCCAGGCCACCTCAATGCTATATCCATTTATGCTCTGGGCTCTTGAGGGAGTTGGCACACTCTCTGGAGCTAGGAAAGAATAAAGGAGAAAGGTAGAGGAAGCGCCAGTCTGAGGAGATGACTGTTCCTATTCTTCACTTTTAATGGCAGCCGTAAATCAGGCTCGACCATTAGCATAAATACAATTTATTAGAGTTGTAACTTTTCAGCATTGATTTAATATGACGGCACATCTTGAGCCATTCAGTTTAAGCTATATTTCAAAACCATCAAAACTCCACCGACATAACATTCTTTTAAATTGAGACCAGGTTTTCCAAAAACATTGAATGTATCCGACGTGTTTAAGCAACACTCATCAGGAAGGAGGCGCTTGGTAGGCAGATAACAAGGTGAAGCAGTATAATGACGTGCCACTTTGGAGCAAGGTAATTAGACTGTTATTATACACAGTGAGCTGACACTTTTATGCCTTCCATGTAGCCAAAAAAAAAAAAAAAAGGAAAAAAATCACACACGTGATTATGTATGGTCTTTGAATGGCTGTTCCCACTTCCCAAATCCAATTGTCCTTTAAATGGTTTTCAAAAAGCATAGCTCCAGCAGGTATGATATATAGGGTACACTTTTAATTGCATTTGGGGGGTTAAGGGAGTTGGTGTCTGGATAGTCTTCAAAATCAGTTTTAGAGACACTCTCTTCAGTGTATCTCAGAACAAAATGAGAACACTTATAGGGACTGTAAAAGACCTAGCAAGCTGGACCCTGATTTCAAAAATCCATAACCTTTAACTATTTATTAGATATTTACACAGCTCTGATCAGTAACAACTTCATCACAGCTGACTGCACTGGGGAACAAAGAAAGAGCCCAAGGAACTGTGTGGCAGAATGATGGATGAGAGACCCGCTCTAACTGCTCCTGGGCTTCTGAGCCCTGACAATGGACGGGGGAAGACAGCCAGGCTTCCCACATCCAGTAGTCTCCTCCCTGACTTTACTGTTCAGACCAATACAACAGGACAGCTTTAAGGGAAATGAAGTGAACATTAAGGATGAGAGGAGACACAGAGAGCAGCACTCTCCATGCACTTAAGACACTACAGGCATCTACAGACAACAGGACACATAACCACGTTGCCAGGAAAGAGACAAGTGGAGAGCTGCTGATTTTATTAGTTCTGCAATGTGGTGCAGGGCAAAGATGGCACTGTCTACCAGATGGTCTTCTCATAAGGGACGAAGCAAAACCAACTCAAAAATAATTAAATAGTGCAATTATTCTCTAGCCCTCGGGAGCTGCTTGGTGCTGCGGTCAGATTGCAAATGTGAATTCCTGACTTGGGATGTGATGGTCAGATCATGGCTGCACCTTCAGAGCTCCATAGTGGGTCAAGTTGGGGAGTAAGCCATGTATACAACCTGCTTCCTAGACACCCACTAAACTGCCTAACAGCAGGCATTTGTACCATATTTTCTAAGAATATAGTGGATTATTAAACAGAGGTAGAAACATGCCAGTTACCAATGCCTATTTTATTCTGAGCTTACTGCCCACTCTGAGGTTGAGGGGGATGTTAAGGGAGTGTTCACCTCACTGTCTTGTCTATAAGTAGATAATTTCTTAGAAGACTCTCCCATCATCTCCCCTGGAAAATCTATAGGCTACAAGTCTTGGAAGTTATTGTTAGTGATATAGCTCTGTATGTCACATCCTTAAAATGAAGGTTCCTTTAAGAGTGCCTGGAATAGCAACCCATTATTGAGAAGTATAAAATAATGTCATGGCTGTAAAATATGTTTTTGACCAATTATTACTGGCTGGGGAAACTGTTTTCAGAGACAACAGCCACCATTAATGTGCTAGACTTTCTGACACATTTTTGATTGGTTGGGTGGAACACTACTCTCTACCAAACTCTTCATGATCAATAGCTCCCAGTCATGCTCTCCTAGGAAAGACTGTGCCATCACAGTCAGAAATACAAAAAACCTGTTGCTCGAGTGTCTGCAATCTATGCTAACGTGTCTCCTCATGGCTTCTCTTCTGAGTTGAAAACATTAAACCATGTGAAACTTCCTGCCCTTGAGACTCATCCTACGATGTCATTGCTCATAGCCATGACAAATGTCTTCTAGGACATGATAAAGAGATGCACCTGATTCTAACCAAGCAGGAATTTTGGAAATGCTGTGAGACTGAAGAAGGTACCTTCCATCTAATGGTCCCCTTGTGTCTGTCTTCTACCTTTTGGGATACAGACAACTGATAGAGGATTCTCACTCTGAAATAGTATGGTTGCACCTATTAAATCCTTAAGTACCTCACTTTCCTTTCTCCACATCTAAAGAGGAAAGAAAAAATCCATAGTAAGCATGCAGTTAACTCTTACAAACTCAAATGCAGTGGTATACTGTGCTTTTCCACAGTCATTTTCAATCCAAAATGGTGCTGCTTCAGGACACAGTGTTCATGTGCACATACATACGCATATGCGTGCACAGTTACACTTGAAAATCAGCAGATGTTACCTGTGCCTGTTGTGCGTCCCCGACTCCAGTCACTTGACACCGAACCTCCTTCGTGGGAGGCTATGACCCGATACAGGTATTCTTAAAGGGAAATAAGAAGTAGACAGTTTAAAACCAACTTCCTACCGACTCACAGCAGGCAGTCAGCAAGGGGAAAGGAAGCAATGGCAGACCCGGAGGGCTTCATTTAGAGACCTCCCCATTACCTGTAAAGGGCTGGAGCCCGCTCTCGTAAACACTCCGCTGGCTTCCCCAGTAAACCAGGATGGAGTCATTTCCCCCACAGTTAACAGTACTGTCACTTGATAGGCATCCATCCTGATTGACTCTGACAGCACGGCTGGACACAGATGCCAAGTTAACGACAGCACCCCGTGTAAATGCGACTCCCTTCATGCAGCCACGGAACCCTAGCAAAGAGAGAGGGATTCGTGTCACAGGAAGGGCTCGGGTCATTAATGACCAACTGTTTTGGTACTCTGCAGTTCTACTCTTGGGGGAGGGTTTAGTTAGGGACAATGATTAAACTTTCAAGCCTTGTTGGAGAAATCTTTATGGCTCTTGCTTTTCATCTGACTTAACAGTCGCAGAGACATATTTATAGATATCATTTTGAAAACCTGCATATACATAGATAATTACAATCCTACCGTGGCACTTAGACAGGATTTCTTCTGCCTATTTAGGCCTACATTTTCTAAATTCTTTGAGCCATAAAGTAAAATTTAAACATTCACACAAGTCAAAAGGGAGTTTCCGTGTTCCCAGTCAACATTGGAAAATTGTTAGTATGAGTCAGTGGTAAGGGCCAAAAAAAAAAAAAAAAAAAATCATCCTTGGATTTGTATTATTTTGGAACAAGATAGACTGAGGGATTTATGTAGGACAACAGCAAAGAAAACATTACTTCTCATGCACTAGGATCCCCAGACACTGACATGAGCTGTATAATCATTGTTTTACACATATGGAATGTGGTCCCAGCTAAACCACCAGAAAAAGGCAAGAGTACTATGCTCTGCCGTTTTCCTGTGCCCCGTCATCTTGAATATACACCTTGAATGTGCACTGGGTTCACACTCATATATCAAAGCCCATCAGTCAGTGTCAGCAACGTTAACCCCAGAAACTTCACGGAATGTGTGTTCTACAGGCTGAGCTTGAAGCATTGACTGCCACTGCCAGAGAAAGGGATCAAATGAATTTCTAGATTTCACCAGGTTTTGGCTAGAGAACAAACATAAGCAGATATCTGGTCAGCCAAGAAATGACAGTTTCTTTTAACATGTATTGACAGACAGAGGTCAGTTCTATGAAGTCTCGAAAGACTGTGCCCAGAAATATGCACCAAATTAGGATGTGCAGGGCTGAGGCTAGATTGCAGTAGCAATACCCCCACAAATACTCACCTTCTTTCTGTACCATACACTGTCAAATTTGAAAGGTTCAGGTGCACTATTAGTGTTCTTAAAAATTAAAATGGCCAAATTGTTCTCTTCAGTGTCTAGCTGATATCTTGTTTTTTTTTTTTTTTCTATCATGCTAAGCTACAGCCTGCTACTTTTTAAACACCTTTAGCTATTATTCCAGTTCCTTCAGGCCTGACTAATCAATACTGCTAGTCTATCTTCAATGCATGGTAGACATGAAAGAGGTTGGTTGGATTGAATTGGAAACAGTGAGGCTCAGTATAAAATTATTTGCTGGGAAATTGAGAGCCAAAGTATTTCATCATTAACAGGAATCATTTTCTGATGATACATATGAGGATCATCTCACCTCTCTGGACCCAATTTTCCCTCCCCATAAAAAGAGGGCAAAAGAAAGGTAGCTTTCATAATATGTCTATGCTGCTCTAAGAAATTATCAAAATAGAGTTCTGGAGGTGGGATGGTGATGTGTATGCATTGCTGTTTATTCACAATGCCACTCAAAGGTCCACTTCAAATGGTCACAAAGCCTGTGTGTGTGTGTGTGTGTGTGTGTGTGTGTGTGTGTGTGTGTGTGTGTGTGTATGTGTGTGTGTGTGTGTAGAGGGTGGGCAGGTCAGACCAGTTAAGTGTTTGCTTTGCAGCTATGGGGACCTGAGTTCTGTCCTTGGAAACCAAATAAAAATGCAGAGTATCATCAGAAGTTGCTAGTAAGACCCTATTGCTGAAGACACCACAAACTTTGATCACAGGCCATGGAGCAATCAAGTGACAGCTGCTGACGGGGAAGCTTTCTCCCCGCTGCCTAGCTTTCACAGTACTGAATGGTGACATGTAGGTCTCTAGGGGACAAAAGTCACCCACAGTCTCAGCAAGCTATGAACTTTGCAAGCTATAATAATGGCAGATATGCTGGCAGCTACAATAGCGGCATAATTGTTATGGGTGCATCTGTCCTGCTGTTGGATTCAAGGCCTGCTCCTGGGGAGAAAATGTATGTCTGGAACTATAAGTTTGGCCTAGAACCCATGGCTGGGAAGTTCATAGGCCCCAAGTGTGAATCCACTACTACTACTTTGCTAAAATAATACTTAGTATCAAATTGCCCTCTAAATTTTTGACTGCCCACAGATTAGTCCATCTCTTATACCTTATCAGAGAAGCTTCTTTGTGCCGTGATTAATGTAGAAACTCACAACTAGTCAAAGTACAAAGAAAAAATGGCTATGGAAGCCTCAGCCATACATGGGACCTTTCTATGACACCCTTTGCCCAAGGTTCAGGGAGCATCATAGGAGGAAGGGTGGGAAGATTGCAAGAGCTAGAGGTCAGGAGCACTGTAACAAATGTCTTCTGGACAGACAGCACAGTACTGATGTATGCATGAACTCTAACAAATGTGTTTGCCCTCAGAAGACCTACGTAAGATCAAGCTGGTTGCATATTCCAACAAGGAGTTAGGCTCCCATGCCTCTACCACTAGCTGAGCAGCTATTGACAATTGATGGTCAATAGATCAATGTCTTTTAGGGGTATAGTGCCTGGTTGGTAGACTGTTGTCCAGTAAATGGACCCTCACCTATTCTTCTATGCACAAATTGAACCTAGTTATTGTGGAATATTATTTTAAGATGTGTTATATTTGTTTATGCTGTGGAACATTTTTTTTTGTTTAATGATGAAAAGATGTGTTGCATTCTTTTATGTTGCATTTGTTTAACTCTTTGAAGCTGTGTTACTTTGCCTACCTAAAATATCTAATTGGTCTAATAAAGAGCTGAATGGCCAATAGCAAGGCAGGAGAAAGGATAGGTGGGGCTGACAGGCAGAGAGAATAAAGAGGAGGAGAAATCTGGGAAGAGAAGACCAAGGAGCAAGAAAAAAAGGAGGAGGAGATCAGGGGCCAGGCACCCAGCTACACAGCCAGCCATGGAGAAAGAAGTAAAGAAAGGTATATAGCACGAAGATAAAACCCCAGAGACAAAAAGTAGGAGGGATAATTTAAGCTAAGAAAAGCCTGCTAAAAATAAGCCAAGCTAAGGCTGGTCATTCATAGAAAGAAAAAGCCTCTGTGTGTATTTATTTGGGAGCTGGGTGGCAGCCCTCCAAAAGAGTCTTAGGAGCAAAAAGTAAAAACAACCCACTACACTTAGTGAGTTATTAAAAAAAGATAAAAGATGGTGAGAAACTGAAAGGTGGAGTGTGGATTCCATAGGTGCTAGAGGTCAGGAGTCGGGTAAAAATGATCAAAATACATTGTGTGCATGTATAAAGTTCATAAAGATTGAATGCAAAGGTTATAGTACAGGTTTTTTTTTTTTTTGGTGTTTTGTTTGTTTGTTTTGTTTATTTTTAGTGCTGGACATTTTTGTTAATGTTTGTAACCCCTGTGTTGGGGAGGTGGAGACAGAAGATCCCTGGGGTTTCCTGGCCAACCAATCTAGCCAACCAGAGAGACCCAGGTAAGTGAAGAGCCCTGGCTTCAAAATGAGTGAGTAAACGAATAGATAGGCGTATTGTACCCAGGGAACAAAACCAAAAGTTGGCTTCTGGCCGCCATATGCAAAGGCATACTTGTTCACGTGCAGACACAATGTGTACCTAGACATATAGATGCACACACAGACACACACAATAAAACTGGCTATAAGTGTCAGTTTCACGTTCATCGTGTTTCACTAAAATTTTCAAAAGTTAAAAATCTAATGACATGGAAATCATTTCAACATGTGGATTTTTAAAGTTCGGAAAGGCCACAGATAAGGTAACTGCTTTTCATTTGGCACATAAAGGGAGTCTGGAGAGGCATGAAGGAGGTTTACAGACATCAACTGCGGAAGCGGAAGACTCTGGGGCCCCAGCCTGCAGGTGGCGCTGCTGAGCTCGCCTGCGGGGTCTTGCTGTGGTTTCCTTCAGTAGGAACAGAAAGGATGACACCATTATCTGTGTGCCACCAAACACTCCCCAGGCCACTTCAAAACTTGGATGAATGTGACAATAAAAAGTCGAGAAAAAATTGATTTTGACAGGAGTGGAGACTCTTTCTGTCTTTGTACAAAACAACAAAATTCCCTCGGCCCTTCTTCCTCTTTCCTGTCACCCGAACCTCTGAATATCTAGAAGGTGGCCCAGGCGACTCTGTGGCAGGATCAGGAAGCGGCAGTGGGGTATGTGATTTGACAGCCATGCAGGATGGGTTCTAGCTTGCCCTGCCCCTGTCTCCCAGGAGCTTTAGGAAGAGCAGACGCTGTGTCATTGTGTGCCTTGGGCCAGTTACAACTGGCCTGGATATGAGTGCTTGTCCTCAGTGATAGTTCTAAGAAGACAAAACTCCCACAATCCTTTGAGAGGTGTTACAATTTTATCAAATTAAGTTGCCAAGAATTTGCAACACAAAGAGGAGAAATAATTTTGCATTTTATTTGAAGGACAATCACATTAATAGCTAGAGAGAAAAATATACCATGAATATAACTACAAAATAGAGCCTGAGAGAAAGAGCGTCTAATTAGGGAGCACAGGAAAGGATGGAGGGACAAGAGCAAGGCTGCTGAGAGGCTCGAAAGGGCGGCATTAAGCAAGCATGATTCCTTTTAATTACACTTGACTGCCTGTAGGCTGTGCCTCTATGTGGTAAATATTCTCTTAAGTGAGTATATATCCAGGTAGAAATACCAGCATGTCTCAAAGCACCTGAGTCAGAATTTTAAAGCACAGGTGTGGGGGTGTCTTTGAACTTGGATTTTTAACACCATTTTACCCTATCCCAGTGCACCTGGGAAGATGTTGATGGTGATGATGATGGTGGTGGTGATGATGATGGTGGAGGAAGCTAATTTCAATTTCTTGCTATAGACCAAAATACTAGACTTCAATAGTTTATCAGTGTTGCAAAGCCGGTGACATGGATAAAAGTCACACACCAAATGATTTATTCTCTGTATGAATAAAATATCCGTCACTATCATAGACTTACAGCTAGGATAGGTAAAACTGTTCCCTTTCAGTCTATGTGGATGCTTTAAATTTCTCTCAGTATCAGCTCACCATTCTATTTATTCGTGTCTCCAAGGCCATCAAATGTAATGGGGTTAGGTATACTTCTAAATCCTAAGCCTGGATCAGCGGGTTGTTTTATCCAACAGTGCCCAGCCCCATGTAAATAGGATGGAATATTCTCACTCAGAGAAGTGCCAGATTCTTTCTCATACCAGAAAGTCTGGAAATTCAGAGAAGGTCTTGTATGAATGCAATATTTTTAGCAGCTGCTACATCTTAAGTGCCTTGAAAATGTCATTACTGTCTTAGACCCTGGTTATTCATTAACTCCTTACTGCTACTCTGCTCGAAGTCTCTTTAGAGCGCTCCATATATTTTCTATTCAAAGTCATTTAAATCTTTATGTACTTACCAAATAGGCAAAGACTGTTTCATGGAAATTTTAACCATTCATGGTGCATAGATTTAAAAATGTACAGAGAACATTCTCTATATGAGAGCGTGCTTGGTCACAGTCTGAAAGTTTCTGGCTTTCCCTTAGTCATGGAAGTGGGGCAATGGCAAATACCAATTAAAAGAATCCATCACTGTAACGAGAGACCAAACTGTGGCACCAGCTTGGTCACCATGGATTTACTCTCTTGCATCTGCTTTCTAATCCTGTGATCTCTGGCAAATGACGTCCTTCCCTACTGGTCACCTTCCTCATCCATCAAGTGGGGTCACAAGTCACCATGCCTCCATCATAGGCTCCTTGTGAGGAACGTACCTTGTCCCATGTGAAGTGCTCAGGAGGTATTGCACACAGGCATTCTTAGCCTTCTCCCTTTTTTATTATGAATCAGGGGTCTCACCGTATAGCCCAGGAGGGCACCAAAATTGTCATCTTCCTGCCTCAGCCTCTCCAGTGGCAACATGTTCAGCTACCTTTTAAAATCTTTTTTCTAGTTAAATACAAACATACATGAGTTAAATGCTGGGCTAAGTGTTTAGCTCCTTTCCTTTTCCTGATGATCACGGATAATCAAAACTGTCTAGTTTTTCATAAATGTATTTGGAATTCAAAAAAAACTCCTTGTTTCATGTGTTTTTATTCCTGCCTAAAAGTTCTACTGGAAAAGCCATGGAGGTAATGAACTCTGGTGTCAGAGGTTTAAAAATATGAAATTGCAGTATTTTCCTAGTTGTTCATGCACACCTCTATAAACTTCTATTTTTTACCTTCCCATATAGGTAATTATCAATAGTCAAAAATTCCAAACCATGTGTGTTTTCAAAGAAAATATTCATGTAGCACATATAAAGTTGATTTGTGTGACAATTTTATTTGCTGAAGACATGTTGGAATAAATATGTTGAATATTGTAGTGGGTAGCCATTCCAGCTTTGATCTGGAAGTTTCAACCCCCATTGAGGCTTCGATAACTGTCACACCTACAAGGCAGGCCCAAGAGAGGACTCTAAAGACCCGAGATCCAGATGCACCGGCTCTCTTGGTTCCTGAACCCTGGACGCTGGAGGTAGACCAAGCAGAGTTCTCCAGAGAACACCGCCGGACTGCACCTTTCCCAGACCCTGTAGCCTATCCCTTCACTTGTAAGTTACCCCACAAAATAAACCTCCCTTTTAACTATGTGGAGTGCCCTTAATAATTTCACCAATAGAATATAAGTAGTGTGATGGAATACTCTCAGAAACAACATAGAAAAGTGTCGGAGGCTGCCTGAGTGGTTAAGAACACTGGCTGCTCTCACAGAGGACCTGGGTTCAATTTCCAGCACCCACATGGTGCCTCTCAACCTGCTGTGCTCCAGTTCCAGGAGATCTGATGCCTCCTTCTGGCTTCTGAGGGTACTGCATCATGTGATGTACATACATATACTCAGGCAAGATACAAACATGAAATAAAAATAAACAATTCTTTAAAACACATCATTTAAAAAAGTATGTTTGAAGAAATGTCCAGATGTCAAGTGATTTTTTTTGAACCTAAAGGTCTCTAAGAAAAGGGAGGGTGGGCTAGTGGGTATTATTTTAATACAAGTCTGCTGCCATATTTGAACATAGAGCACAACCAAAGCTTAGTGGGACAGGGCCAAGTCCAGTGGTGTGTGTCCCTGGGGGGAACTTACCTTGTTCCAGAGTCAAATGGCTGTAGGAGTCCTGCAGCTCCTGTGGGATCCCACCCAAATAGACAGGTGAATTCACCTGCAGGGTCTGGGCTCCAGCTTGTGAGGTGCGCTCCATGAGTTGATTCACACTAAGTGACACCAGGGAGCCTTCCTTTTTAATAATGACTGTGTTCCAGTTTCCATCACCATAGGCCGGTCCCAGCCAGAGATCCACTTGTGTAAAGCGACGACTGGATTTTAACCGGAAGCTCAGCAGTCCGCTCTTCAGCTCCATCTGTATTTCATATTAAGCAAAGAGCCACATCAAAAAGCTGCAGAATGGCAACTTAGACAAGAGCAGAAGGTCCTTTTCCTGAGGAAAAGCAAGACACTTCCCCGAAAGCACCAATAAACCGTTCAATTTCATCATAAGCACAGCTGAAGGAATGGATAATGAAATATTTTGCAAGCTTACAATTGGCATGAAGAATGTTGTACTGAGTCAAACAAATTCATACCCAGTGATGATTATACTACACAGTATGATATTACGGAGGCACCAGCTTTTTGTCTAACGTAGTTAACAGATTAAATCCTACTACAAATGACTGGCGAACTGGAGAACGGAACACTATGAACTATGACTCCATTTTTGAGTTCTTAGAAAATGAGAAAATACGACTGCATGTATCAATTTAATTTGGGGGAAAATTTGACAAGACAATAAGAAAATGAAATGTCAAGCTTGATGAAGCTTGTTTTAAATGGTTAGTGAACTCAATTTCAAATTTGTAAGATATATTTTGATTCAATGTTTCAGTTTTATTCTGAATCTCTAGCATAATTGCTTCTGTGTGTATTCTTTTAGATTAATGCACCATTTTCTAATGTCAGCATATTTTACCTAAATTTTCAGTGTGAGGGAAAAACATTCATATGTTTTCCCTCAAAATGTTAGATGATAATTACTTTACCTATCATTTTTTAAAAAATTTCTTTTAGGCATGAAATCAGCTGCCATACTCATTGAAAGTTTGAGATCAGTGTTTTAAATAAAATAAATTAAATCTTGCTGGGAGAAGGATATGTCTTCTACGGAGACATCTTCATGATGCATTCCCAGCAAGTAGGCATTGCCCTTCATTCAGTTAGCATGAAGACCATCCGTTCCCTAAAATCCCACTGATGGCAAAGGAGCAATCCGAGGCACTCCTGTAGCCAAGACAGTGATGGGATACCACATGAACAGAGGACATATGAGCCACTCACTCCCTAAGAGTCAAGAAAGATTCAGAAGAGCTGGGGTAAGGGCTCCACGGATGAAACACTTGCCAAGCAAGGTAGGGACCAGACTTGGGATCCCCGGCCAGGTGGATTGCAGCCTCCTGTAATTCCAGCAGAGCACACAGTCCCAGCATTGGGGAGGAAAAGGTAGAGGCTCCCCAGAGCAAGCTGGATATTTGGACTGACTGGATTAACAAGCTCTGGAGTCAGCAAGAGACCCTGTCTCAATAAATACAGTGGAGAGTAGATCTAGAAAGAAATGTGACATCAAACTTGGGGCTCCATGTGCATACATACACATGTGCACTCACACAAATACACCCACATACATGCTCACACCCACACATATAAACGCACATTCACACATACATGAACAACACACAACACACACACACACACACACACACACACACACATACACACACACACACACACACACACACACACACACACACACACACACGAGATTTAGAGTAATGTAAGATGCATAATGTTCCTCCAGGCAGGGAATAGATATGTGCATGACAGGGGACATTAGGTTTAAAGAAGGGTAACAATTCAGCCAAGACACAGGGGGCACAGGAGGAGGAGACACTGAGAGTGTCGCTCAGTGTGTAGAGGTAGATTCTGGATGATTTGGAATGACATGGAAAAAGTTTATCTTTCTTTCATCTGAACCGAAAGCTACAATTTGTACTGACTTATTTTATAACAAGTTCATCTTCTTGGGCATAGGAAGTATCCTTCAGAAGCTGGGATCAGTAAAACATTGAAAGTCATTACTATAAGCACAATTATAATGGTGATCAGGAAGTCTCTAAGAAGTATTTCCTGAAGCAGCTCACAAGGGCATGGTGACCAGTACTGAATGCACTAGGTACCAGTAAAGTACACATACTGGTAAACTGCCATGTGTGGCTTAAATACACCCAGAAGCTGGCTTGGGAAGCAGGGTTGTCATGCCCCATTTTAGACTTAAGGGTTGTTCCACCCGTTTCTGATGTAAGCATGTTTGTCTCAAAGTGTCTTCAGAACTCTCCTCTGAGGACAGGCTGGGCTGCCCAACTCTGTGACAAGGAGAAAAAAAAAGACCAAAATAGGTCTAGAGTAAAATCACTGTGTCCTTCAACAGTGGAAGGTGAACGATTCCCAGTAGAGGTTACGACTGCTCATCTCATAATAGAAAGGTACCTACAGTGGGAAAGAGAAGCCAGGAGTTGAGTGTGAGAAGCTCATCCATGCAGAAAAAGCCTAATTGGGAACTCTAGCTGACTGCCTCAACTTCCCCACTCAGTCTCTGCTGCTGGCCTAAGTATCAGCTTCAATGAGTTTACCTTCTCACTGTTCTTTGCTCTTTAACTGGAAGTCTTGTTCCAGGGGACATCGTGCTCTGATCAGGCCTCACTGGAACTCTAGCTGAAGACGTTAACGGAGCTTCCCCAGGTGATATCTGCCAGGGGTTTTGAGCACCAGATTTGAGGGTGTTATTCTATCTGTCTCTGTCTGTCTTCCTGCAACTTGCTATTCATTCTTTCACTTTTACTTGCTATGTGCTTAATAACTCCCTCATTTAAAATCCAAAGTGTATCTATGGAAGATCTTCCAGCAGACTGTATAGAACAGTGCATGAAAAATCAAGGACATGTTACTTTTAATTTGATTGTACTGAATCACCTAGGAGACCAGCAGAGAGCTTTGTGTGTGTGTAGGTGAAGGCACTCCCAGGGCTGGTCATGAGTGCTCTGACCTCATCCCACTAGGTTAAAAGTCTGAACAGAGGAGCTAAAGAGATGGCTTGGTGGTTATGAGCACCTGATGCTCTTGTAGTGGACCTGGGTTCAATTTCCAGCGCCCACATGGTAGCTCACAAACATCAATTACTCCAATTCCTAGGGATTTTCTTTTTAATCTCTTCTTGGCTCTGTGGGTACCTGCACACATGTGGTGCACAGACATACATGCAGGCAAAGTATCTGTGCACATAAATAAAAATAATGTAAAACATCAGAATAGATTATTGTGAGATGGGGGTTGTGTGATGGTTTTTTAGGCTAGTTTTAGGATGTGTGTTGTTGGGAGTGAGTTTCTGAAGGGCACCTGTTTAACTGGCCCATCCCTGTCTTCCCTGTCAGAACCCCCACACTTTCCTATCCTTCACATAGCAGAAGTTTCTGGAGCATGCTCCTATTATCAAAAATGCCAAGGACTATAGAGTAGGAGCTAAAATAAGTGCTTTCCTTTGGGTTCTGTCAGGTATTTGGTTAAAGTAACACAAAAACAATGACTATGACATCTCTCATCCTTTGTCCTTGTGTGACCAGTAGGAGAGGATTCACCCTTCTCACATTATCACCACAAGAATGGCTGGTGAAAGCCAGGTGGTGGTGGTGTATGCCTTTGATTCCAGCACTTGGGAGGCAGAGGATCCCTGCAAGCTTGAGGCCAGCCTGATCTACATAGTGAGTTCCAGGATAGCCAGGACTACACAAAGAAACCCTGTCTCTGAAAACCAAAACAAAAACAAAAACAAAAACAAAAAACTAACAAACAAACAAACAAAACCCTGAAAAGAATGGCAGGGGAAGAGGCGAGCTTTCAGGGAGGACTCACACTGTAGATGACGCTGGATTTAAAATGTTCAGAAAACAGGAAGAGAAATGTTTCTGGAAGAGGTGAGACAAAAACACACGTAGATTTGGAATGGGCCAGTGAAGTGGAGAAAGTATTCATGATGGCCATGCCATCTGTCCAGTGCTACACTCAGTTTTGACAATAGCATCTGACTGAATAACCACAGTAAAAGCAAAAGTGTTATAGATTCTCATTGCCCTATGGAAACTGCTCACACTAATCTTATTCACCATAGCAAAAACATGGAAATAAGCAATGTATTATTGATGAGAGGCATATTACACAGACCTGAAAATGGAACATCTCCATGGAAAATGTGGAAAATCTAGAATACTGTGAATAAATACAAATTCCTTAAAATATAGCACATACCACTTTCATAAATCTCAAAATCTGTAGCACTCATTCACATATGGTAATCAAATGCTAACCAGTAAGAAAACACGGGATTATCATGACATATTATTTCTGGTCAGAGTTGGGGAAACAGAGTAGAAGACATTAAAGGATGATCATTGAGTCCTTGGATGGAGTGGTATGCTTATTAGCCCTCATTGTGTTGTGTTTTATCAGGCACCAAATGAAATATATAAAGTACATTTTGAAGCTATATCAAAAGATAATGAAGAGGTATTTTTCATGTATTGAGAAACTAAATTGGATTTCCTTAATTCTTAACATCTGCTCTGTTTTGTTCAATTCACAACGTTTATAGTACTAATTGTCAGTTTAACCAATTATCTTAACCCTGTAAGACATTTCACAGGCCTATGAAAATAAAGACTGCTTGAGGAAAAAAATGAAAATAAAAGTGAATTTAAAAAGCTCAATTGTGTCTAATACTAACACACAATTTATCTCTTTCAAAATTGGGTCTGATATTTTAAAATAAATTTAATTAAATTTATTAACATACAGCAAGAAAATCTGGTCCCTCTTTGTTGTGAATGAAAAGAAGCAATCCATTTAGCTGGTTGGTTTGAAACTTCAGGGAAATCTCAAAGTCCTTTGCAGCCTGAAACGTATCTGAACGAAGCTCCAGGAATCCTTTAAGACAAGAGAGCATGCGCACACATCAACATATTGCAGGCACTGTAAGAGTGTGGTGAATACCTGGGAAATGTACCAACTTTGTTTTAAAACCCCACAAAAGAATAGACGGATCAGTATCATGACATCCCTTCTGCTGTCTAGTGGAGGTTGTGAGATGAACGTCACATCCCTATGAAGAGGAAACAGATTACTTCCTCAATCACACACTCATGCACATCCCACGTGATGCTGAACACCCCAATGAAGCAGTGACCAGATGAAAAGTGATAGGCATCAGGGAATACACAATGGGCTAAGACAAGCTCAGATTGCCATCTTTAGTGGAAAATGGACATCACTATTGTTCTGTTCTACACACAGTCTAAACACTTTATAACCAATAAACTTAAAGAGATGGGAGCCTGAGGATTGTGTTTATAGAGGAATAGTCTATATCTGCCTTGCCACACTGTTCCTTCCCAGGGCCATGCCCTGGGGTCGGGAAGGGGGTGTACACAGAGAGGAGATGGGTGGGAAGGAAGTGACAGGTACCACTACCACCTCACAGTTTTCTCCAGCCTCTACAGTGGTGGCCCTAGTCGCTTTCTGTCCCTCAGAGGCCTGCGTAACTCCATGCCCAGCTTTACAGACAGGCATGGTTCAACTACATAATAAGGGAAATGGGGATGTTGAATCATCTTAACAATGAAAACTCCTTGGCAATAATTTTCACAGTAACCTGCAAGCTGACATCTGTCAATTGATTTATACATGGGCACTGTGACACTCACATACAAACCAGGAACTCTGGGGACCACCAGAGATGTCACCAATAGATACATAGCATGAATTATAACAGTTATATTTGATATTCATGCTTTGAAAATGCATGTAGAATTCTACGAACACACTTCTGTGATTTACTCATTAAGGTAAATTGGAAGGGGGAGGTTAATTTAGACGAAGAGGAGAACAAATGCACTGCTCTAGTTTGGCTCTTGAATGTCCTCAAATCTTTCAAAAGGGACACACAATAGGAGACCTTCAGGACCGACAAGGAGGCACTAGAAGGGCAGTGTGGCCTCTCCTCATTTTCTTTTTTGTTCACTGGCAGTGAGTGATTTCACAGGGCCATACACTCCCTCCAGGATGTGCTACCTCTCATGGATGGTCAGAAGTCATGAGGCTAACTGACCATACACTGAAACCTAGAAAACTGAGAGCCAATGTTCACCTTTTAGCTTCTCAAGTCAACACTCCTGGATAGTTGTGATTGCGATAGAAAGATGACTAATGCATGCTGAATCACCAGCCACACCTCACCTGCTCCCAGGAACTGGACTCCTTCTTCCAGGGCAGTGGGGCACCCCTCCCAGCTGTGATACATGTTGACCTGCTCCTCAGAACTCTGCCAATCCAGAGGCATCCAAGTCACAGAGGGGCTATAACTCTTCGTAATGTACACATCCTTGAGGCAGCCCACAAAGCCTCTTTGGATTATCTCTGCAAAAGTGATAGGCATCAGGGAGTACACAATTCATTTGTTTGGACTTTATTTTGTAGCCATCTATTTTACCCAACACTCAAAGGGAAGAGACCTGCAAGCATTCACACCCAAGTCCCCTGTGGTCGTTTGAAAGGAAATGGCCCCCAAAGGGAATGGCACTATTAGGAGGTGTGGTTTTGTTGAAGTGGGTATGACTTTGTTGGAAGAAGTGTGTCACTATGGAGGTGGGCTTTGAGGTCTCATATATGCTCAAGCCACATGCAGTTAGACAGATCACTTTTTATTGCCTGTGAGACAAGATGTAGGGCACTTGGCTACTTTTCTAGCACCATGTCTGCTTGCACACTATCATAACACACCATGATGATGATGGACTAAACTTCTGAAAATATAAGCCACCTCAATTAAATATGGTCCTTTATAAGAGTTGTGGTGGTCATGGTGTCTCTTCACAGCAATAGAAACTGTAACTAAGACATCCCCAAAAGTCTCTAACAATTTATGCAGATACCACCCTGATAGATACAGTGAATGGTTGCAATGTTCTGTTTGGCTCTGGCTCACTCACAATGAATCTTAAAAAAAACAAGTTTATGAAAAAAACAAACAAAACTTTGTTTTATGCTATTAGCAAGAATATTGCCTTTTGAATTAACCCAGAAATTTTTGTCATAAGTCTCCAAACTAGGTGCTAAACACTGTTGTAAGTGAGGTTTAGGGCTTGGGGAGAGGGCTCAATTGGTAAAGTACTGACCACAGCATAAGGACCTGGGGTTTGGATCCCCACCACACACTTAAAAGGCCCAAAGTCCCTTCCTCCCAGCATTATGTGCTAATAAACCCAGTGATCAGGAGCTAGGGGTAGGCACAGGAGGGTCCCTGAAGCTCATTGGTCAGTCAGCCTAGTTAAATCCATGAGCTTTGGTCTCTGTGAGACATCCTGTCTTAAAAATAAGGGCAGAGAGTAATTGAAGGAAGACATAAGATGTAGACCACTGATATCCACAAGTACGTGCACATGCTCATAGGTGCATGAGCACCCATACACATGAATGCCTTCCCCACAAACACACCTTGGATTTATTTTTTTTTACTCTAGCCCCATATTGGATGACAAAATGTTGTTGTTGGTTTTTCTTTTTTGGGGGCCCACAACCCAGCTCCCAAGTAAATCACTCATAGAGGCTTATTCTTAATTATGATTGCCTGGCCTTAGCTTGCCTTGTTTCTCGCCAGCTTTTCTTATCTTAAATGAACCCATCTGTCTATCGCCTCTGGGCTTTTACCTTTCTCTATTTCTGTATACCTTTCTTTCTTACTCAGTTGCTGATAATGTAGCTGGGTAGCTGGCCCCTGGAGTCCTCCTCCTTCTCTGGTTCCTTGATCTCCCAGATTTCTCCTTCTATATCTTCTTTCTGCCTGTCAGCCCTGCCTATACTTTCCCCTGCCTTGCCATTGGCCATTCAGCTCTTTTTTAGACCATCAGGTGTTTTAGACAGGAAAGTAACACAGATTCACAGAGTTAAACAAACACAACATTAACAAGAGTAACACACCTTAAAATAATCCCCAGCACACACACACACACACACACACACACACACACACACACACACACACACACATACACAGAAACACACACACATATACACAAACATATGACTACTTCCCCACACAAACATACATATGAACATATACCCACACACATGGAATAACCCCACTTATCCCAGGGTCCCAGACTTTCCATGACATCTGGAATGCTATACTGAATCTTTTTGAGAGAAACACCTGAGCCCTAGTAAGATATGGGAAAAATCAAACAAACCCTAAGATCATTAGTAAGCATTTGAAAAGTGACTGTTGTCATGGTCATGTAAATTTTTATTATATTTATTCATTTGTACATGTGTATTTGTGTGAGCACGTTCAAGCTATGGTGAACATATTGCAGTCTGAGGATAGTTTGTCAGAATTAGTTCTTTCCTTCTATCATGTGGATCCCAGGGATGAACTCAGGTAGTCTGGCTAGACAAGTGACTTTACCTACTGAGCCATTTTACCAACCTTTCCTCCCTGCTTTGTGGTAACTTTTCTTAGTTTCATTTTGGTGTGTTTTTGTTATTGTGTTCTAAAAGTAGGGAGTATGTGTGGGGTGTGTGTGTGTGTGTGTGTGTGTGTGTGTGTGTGTGTGTGTGTGAACTTGACACAGGCTAGCATAATAAAAGAGGAGGAATCTCATTTGAGCAAATGCCTTCACAACACTGGCCCATAAAGCTGGATGGTGGTATCATGGCTCACACCTTTAATCTCAGCATTCGGAAACAGAGGTAGGAGGGTCTCTGTGAATTCAAGGCCAGCCCAGTCTGCAGAGTGAGGTCCAGGACAGCCAGGGCTGTTACATAGAGAAAATCTGTCTCAAAAAAACAAAAACAAAACAAAAACGATTGGCCCATAGACAAGCCTCGTTTCTCGAGTAATGGTTGATATGGAAGGGCCCAGCACATTTTGGGTAGTGCTACACCTGGTCAAATTGCCTGGATGCATACAAAAATCCGTTGATCAAGCCACTAGGAACAAGACAGTAAGCAGTATTTCACCATAGCCTCTGCTTCAGTTCCTATCTTGAGTTCCTCTCTTGACTTCCCTATACATGATGGCTTACAACTCTATGCTGAAATAAACCCTGTCCTTCCCAAGTTGATTTTGGTCACAGTATTTTATTGCAGCAATAGAAATGCTAATTAAGATAGGAGCTTACTTTATTAATATCTTTAAAATGTGTTTTCCATTTATTTTATATGTATGAATGAATGTTCTATCATCTATATCTATTATCTATCATCTTTCTAGTATTTTATCTACTTAATTATCTATTTTTGTACTTATCTATTTGTCATCTTTCTATCATTTATCTATTTATTTATTTATTATCTATCTTTCTATCATCTTTCTATCACTTATCTACTTATCTATTTATTATCTATCTTCTGTATATCATTTATCTACTTATTATCTATCTATCTATCTATCTATCTACCTATCTATCTATTTATCTATCTATCTATCTATCTATCTATCTATCTATCTATCTATCTATCATCTATCTATGTCTTCATAGCATATGTGTGCCATGCCTGCAGAGATTAGAAGAAGGTGCCAGTTGGTGAGCCACCATATGGGTGCTGAGAATAGAATTCAGGTCCTCTGAAAGAGCAAACAAGACTCTTATTCACTGAGAATCTCTCCAGCTCCAATATCTGAATCATGGAGCTTTTTGGATTTGTTTGAGATCATTTGTTTGTAACCTCTTTTGTGACTCTCCAACAACTGGTGTATTGACTCTTACACAATATAATTGGAATGTTCCTCAGACTTCTGAGAATCAAGTTTTCCATTCATGTGTCATTCCCAATGAATTTAAAGTCTTAGAAAAATATTTACACACATCCTGCAATTATACAAACCTCACTTAATTTGTATGTCATTTTTGGCAAAAGCCTAATGAATCTTTTGAATAACAAGAACTCAGTATTGACAAGGAAAGTAGAACTACTGAACATGTTTTGAAAAAGGAGAGGCCTAAGAATTAACTTGTGTGTTTAGGAAATGTAAATAATACCTATTCATACTTTTAAGTGCTGTAAATAGATTGCACTTAGTTTTGAGTATAACATTATGGTGGTTGGTTTTAATTGTCAACTTGATACAATCTAGAATCACCTGGTGAGAGTCTCAATGAGTGATTATCTAGAGCATCCTGGCCTTTGGGCTCATCTGTAGGGGGAAAGTCTTGTTTAAGGTATTGATGCTTGATGTGGAAAGACCTAGCCCACTGTTAGCATTGCCATCCCCTGGGTTTGAGTCCTTGATTGTCTAAGAGTGGAGAAGGCAAGCTGAATAGTGAGCAGGCATTGTCTGTGAATGGGACCAACAGCTTCAAGTTCCTACTGTGACCTCCCTACAGTGATGGACTATAATGTGCAGCTGCAAGCTGCATAAACCCTTTATTCCTTAAAGTTGTGTTGCTGGGTATTTTTTCACAGCCACATAAATGAAACTGCAACGATATATACTTCTACTTCCTGTGAAACTCACCAAGCCTCTTTTGGAGGACAGAGTGACCTCGTGGCAGCCCGCCCACAAATAGTCCGGTGTAGCCTGTCATCATGGTACTCCCGTTCAGAGAAGCTGAGGAGCCTGTAGGAGAAGAGAAGAAAATTACAGCTCTTCCATGGAACTCTTCAAGTGAAACTCATCACAGATCTTTGGTACCCAGTTCTCTTGCTTCTGCTTTAAGCTCCTTGTCTATCAGGTTCCAGATCAGCCAACTGCTGTAAACCTACCCACATCTCATCAGCAGCCCCTTCCCTTCTTCTACTACTATGGCCTCCTTTTCAGTCCTTAACATGCAGCATAAAGTATTTTCCTATCCCCAGGGCCTATTGCCCACTGATCCCTTGGTCCAGGCCTGGTGTCCACTGTTTCCTGACCCAAAACATATTTCCTTCTAGATATTTTCATGGTTTTTTCCTGGCCTATCATTTCTCTGCTCAAATGTTATTAGAAAGTCCTTCCCAGTAGGCCTGGGTCAAATTTAACACTGCTCCCAATGCACAAACCTTTTGTGACAAAGGCCCCATGTCATTAGCTGTGAGGCTCTAGGGACCAGGCTAATGACTGTCACATGGTGAATCCAGAATGCTCCTCAGCATCCTTTGAGGGTAAATTAGGATGGGTTTTCCCACTTCTCTCAGTTTTCCATTGAGTTTAAAGTCTTATCAATACAGGTAACACCCACCTATCCCGCTTTTCCATTTTCGTAACTCTCTAGCACTTTTTACTTTATTATCTTCTGCCCCCATGTCCATCTAAACTATAACCTCTACAAAGCTCTGTTTACTCTGTTATCTGAGCACCCAGAACACTAGTAGAAATAGTAGGAGCTCATTAAAATCACTTTTACCCTACATGAATGAATGAAAGCCTACATCAGTGGATGAAAATGGAAAACAGAGCCTGTTGGAAAGAGAACCACACTCAAACACAAACACTCGTATGTGGGGACAGTCCTGCCTACCCACTGCAGAAATGGGAGAGCTTAATTACATTTCTGAGTATTGGTTCTTCTCATCTCTGTGTGTAGATATCTGTTTTCCTTGCTTGCCTTCTGGAGGCAAAGGGGAACGTCAGTAAGGTAATTAAAGACCCTTGCAAGGTGTGGAGAATGCACAAGATGCAAAATGAACACTGGTGACTACATTCCCATCTCTGCTTTACTGGAGTCCTACCTGGATGAGAAGCTCAGGGCTAGAGTTTACAAGCAGAAGAGAAAAGAGCAACTAAGAGACAGATTTCACAGGGATTCATGTGAAACTGAATGAAGAAATCAATGTGAAATTCACATGTGCAGATGTGCATGTAAGCGTGCACACACACACACACACACACACACACACACACACACACACAGTTCTTACCCGTGTATTGTCCATCAAGGGTGATTTGGCCTAAAGCCTGATGCCTAGCCACAATGATTTCATGCCACTGTCCATCACTGTATTGTTTGCCATGATCATCAGTTGTGGTAACCTCCACTAGTGATCCCTTAAGAGAATGAATGAACAAGTAAATGAATGAAAGCTCACATTTAGATGCCAGTGACACTGTATATTTCTTTCTCTTTTTTAATGAATATTTTTATTTTATAATTAATTTAATTTTACATATCAGCCACGGATTCCCCTATCTTCCCTTCTCCCATCCCCCCCCCCCCCCGTCTTCCCCCACATTCCACCACCCATTCCCACCTCCTCCAAGGCAAGGTCTCCCCTGGGGATTCAGCCCAGCCTGGTAGCTTCAGTTGAGGCAGGGCAGATCCCCTCCTCCCTGCACCAAAGCTGAGCAAAGTGTCTCAGCATAGGCCCTAGGTTCCAAAAAGGCAGCTCATGCACCAAGGACAGGTCCCAGTTCCACTGCCTGGGGGCCTCCTAAACTGTCATGCTAGAACTCTCATCCAGTGACTGATGGAAGCAGATGCAGAGATCCATGACCAAGCCCCAGGTAGAGCTCCAGGAGTCCAATTGGAGAGGGATTATATGAGCAAGAGATATTGAGACCATGATTGGAAAAAGCACAGGGACAAATAGCCAAACTAGTGAAAACACATGAACTATGAACCAAGGGCTGAGGAGCCCCCATGGAACTGGACCAGGCCCTCTGGATAAGTGAGACAGTTGATTAGCTTGAACTGTTTAGGACACTGTATATTTCTTATAAACCAGTTCACAGATTTCATCATTATGATCCCAATACAAAGCAGCCACTCTGTCAGATGGAACTCAACATGCATGGCATCCAGTGATCGTGATGACCATCCTGTGGTGTGCATCTGAAAATCACAGTGACCAAAAGGAGAGACCTCTCCAGACCAGGACTCTCTTACAAAGGCACTTGTATTTTGGGTATCTATGTTCATATTTTAACATTCATGGAGGCACTATAAAGAAGAGAATAATTTAAAACTGAGAAACGTTGTAAATATATATTTTAAGGATAAACAAGCATCAGGAAAATTAGCTTCCCGTCACTAATAATTTTATAATATGCACTATAAGAGGGAACAGGAAATGAGTTGGGTTAAAGGTATTTATTGAACTTGTATGTGTAGTTAAATTTGTTTTTCAATGCTTTGTACTCTAAAATCTAGCATTTATAGCTCTGGTAGGATAGTAATAACACAGTGAAAAATGGGTTCTTGAGTAGATGAGATCCAATGAATGGCAGATACCAAGAAGAAAGATTGGCAAGGAAAAAGAAGCAATGAAGAAAAAGTGAACAGCCTGCCTAGTGCATTAGAGGCATGTGAACACAGTTTCATTGTACAAATCAGAATAAATAGAAGAAACTCCATCCTCATTAACCATCATTTACTATTGTGACTAAGAAAGCAGATCCCTCCAAACCCAAGCAAGACAAATTTAATATCAAGGTTGATTTACCTGAGAAAGAATCAAATATGAAGTTGATGAAAGTTCTTAAAAATGTAAGCAAGTTTGGTTAAAATAGTACATATTTAAAAAAAAATAATCTGGAGTTGAAGGGATGACTCAGTGGTTAAGAGCCCTAGCTGCTCTTGCAGAGGACCTGGGTTTGATTCTCAGTGCCCACGCGGCAGTTTATAACCATGTGTAACTCCAGTTTGGAGAGTGATATGGGGGGTGCGGTGGGGTGAGTGGATCCATCTCCCTCTTCTGGCCTCCTCTAGTACTACACACATGTTACATAGATACATGTAGGGAAATACTGATACACATAAAATACAAATAAATATTTTTTTAAAAAAAACTTACCCAGAATGTTTCATCAAACTCTAACAATTTTGCTCTACTATTTTTCATAAGGGGAAAAACCCTGGTAATCCTCTACCATGATAGATTTACATGGCACAGCACAAGACATTAGCTACAGTTTCTTATATGAAATATTTCTGTTTATATTTCCCTAAGAATAGAACGCATCCATTGTATGCATCTAATTGGCTTTTGCCAAGCCTCATAATATACTCCGCAACACACATGATGTATAGAATCTCATGCTACCCATGTTAAGACAGCAGCAACAACATCCACCAAAAAGAGACTTTATTTCCCATAAGCACAGTAGTTGCTTCTCACATGGCCAGTACCCCAACTTACATAGACAATCTGGTCAGTGGCACACATGACCATTTTCAAAGTTATCTCTAGTCTTAGACTTTCTTCCTTTTCCTGTTTTTTTTCCTACATATTCCTTTATTTTCCTCAACTCTATTTCAACATTTTAATATTTTACAAACACACATTTCATTATCGTAGTTTAATAATTAAAACCAGAACTGGTGTCGTGCCCAATTAATGTGCCCTGGTAGCATGCCCATTAGTTTTTCCATTAGTGAATTCAACAATACTAATGGGATTACTAGCATGGGATGCTAATTGGGTGTGACATAAGAAACTGGCTTACTTCTGAGCATACCCTTGCTAATGATGAAATTAATGAGCATTTTATTAAACGCTGTCTCATCAAAGTGTACTTAGTTAGCGTTAAAATTGTTACAAACGGTTCTGCATTTTAAAGATCAGGTGTCTGAGGCGAGGCTCTACACATTTTGTTTGGCAGTAATCTGCAGTATGGATAGTTCTCCCCATCAGACTCCTATTGACTGGATGCAGATCCACTGAGGTAGCCTAGAGCAGAGCTCACCAAACTTTACCTAAGTCTTAGAGGAACTTTGCACAGCATCCTTTGATGAGAATGCCAATATCCATGTAATAAAAATTCTACAGTCAGGGCTAGTGTTACACATGGAAAACACCAGGCAATTAGACTCTGCTCACAACTATTTGAAAGTTCTATGTTCAAAGGTTCCTTGTCTGTGAAAACATAAAGTTCTGTGTTGTTTCTGTGAATGTCACTGAGTATAGAATACTGAAGAGTTAAACCGGGTGATAAAATATCATCTCATCAAATCTATACAAAATTGGAGTAGCCAAATAAAGGACTAGACTGTTATAGCTATTTTAGAGACTTGATGAAACTATAAAGTTTCAATTAAAGTCTCATATTTGTCCCCTTTCAAGCTTTATTTTTATTTATTTAAATTGCATGTGCATGCCTGCATATGTGTGTGTGTGTGTGTGTGTGTGTGTGTGTGTGTGTGTGTGTGGTATGACTGCAGCTGCCTGTAGAGGCATCAGATATCCCTGGAGCTGGAATTACGATGGTTGTGAGTCACCCATTGCCTCTGATGGGGATTGAATTCAGGCCCTCTGTAAGATCAGTGTATATTCTTAACTTCTAAACCCTCTCCATTCCTTGTTTATATATATATATATATATATATATATATATATATATATATATATATATATATATATATATATATATATATATATATATAAAATCTATTTTCACAATGGTTCCCAGCATTCAGTTTCTGAGACACCCATATCCAATTTTAACAACCATTAAGGATCTTGTTTCTTCTCCCTAAGTACTTATCCAACAGATCACCTGGCTATATAGGAGAGAAACCAAGTTTTAGATGAATGGCCTCCCTCTGTGTAGGACTTACAGCTATGCCAGCAATTCCGTTCTCAGGCTTATTAAGACATTTTAAAACTTGAAACATGCAAGAGAATATGAAGTTATTTTGAAATTGTGTTGTAGTGTGCTGTGGGATGTTCTGTATGGCAAATGTGTTGCTGATTAGTCAATAAATAAAACACTGATTGGCCATTGGCTAGGCTGGAAGTGTAGGCGGGACAAGGAGGAGAATAAAGCTGGGAAGTGGAAAGCTGAGTCAGAGAGACACTGCCAGCTGCCACGATGACAAACAGCATGTGAAGATGCCGGTAAGCCACGAGCCATGTGGCAAGGTATAGATTAATGGAAATGGATTAATTTAAGCTATAAGGACAGTTAGCAAGAAGCCTGCCACGGCCATACAGTTTGTAACCAATATAAGTCTCTGTGTTTACTTGGTCGGGTCTGAGCGGCTGTGGGACTGGCAGGTGAAAGAGATTTGCCCTGACTGTGGACCAGGCAGGAAAACTCAAGCTACAGTAGTGACTTTCAAATTCTTAGAAAACAGCTGGTCATGGTGGTACATGCCTTTAATCCCAGCAGTCAGGAGGCAGAGGCAGGTGCATCTCTATGCGTTCGAGGCCAGCCTGGTCTACAGAGTACGTTCCAGGACAGCTAGAATCATCACACAGAGGAACCCTGTCTTGAAAAAACAAACAAGCAAACAAAGAAATAACAACAACAACAGAAAACTCCTGGAAAATGTCCCTTTCAGGATTCAAAATCAAATTCCTGTGAATGGACTCAGGCACAGTCCTTTGAAACTCAAAACCTCAGTTTACTCTGGGAAAGGTCAAAGTATCCAGTAAATAAAGTCAGCAACACATCACAGAATCATTAACAGTCAGAAACTTCATCTCAGAAAATGGATGATCTGATTTAACTATAGTAGGGTTTTAGTCACAATTATCTAACACTTAGCCAGATAATCTGTCAAAAGTGTTTATCATGCATCTATATTTTCCCAAGGATCAGGTTAGGGATAAAGCAGTCCTCACTGGGTCACATTCCGATAAGAAAAACACATTAAGCACATAATTACCAGTGTGGTGGGAACAATGCAGAGTTCACTAGGTAACCTTGTCTTAATTTACAGAGAAAAGGGAAAAAATGACTTACAGTGATGCTTAAAGTCCTTAAAAATATATAAGTATGATGTTGATATCAGGTGCACAGCAGAAATGCACAACAGAAATGGGTCTACTTCTTTAAATGTGGGGTATCTCGAACTTCACACACAAATCTATATGCAGTTTTCTATCCCAAAATGAGAACAAATAGAAGGAGACTGTTCAAATTTTTTTCTATTTGGCAGTTTCAATAATTGTCTAAAAATAAGCAGGGCCTTCATTATGCAGTGAACAGATATGTCCAGTTAACCTGCATTAAATATGAACTTCTTTGCGGTGGGTGAGGGCAGAGCCCATGCGAGCTGGTGCTCACTGCTTCTTGGATTGCTTCCTGGCCCAGGACCACTTAGTATAATATATCTGATTACATCTTCTCCAATACACCCGAGGCAAGCCTGCTCAACCAATACCTGACTTTTTCTAAAGTAAATGAATTGTCAGTGTGCTGAAAGCAGGCAGCTTTCACCTCATACAGAGTGATTATTATTCCAGACAGAAATGTGCTTACCCAGCACTGTAGATCCCTCCTTTCTCCCCCCAGCTTCCCACTTTTGCTAGCACAGTTTTCTTATTTCAGTATTTGGCCGGTATCTACCAACTCAGTATATACTTAGGATCGGGCTGTATGGGACAGGGGTGGAGCAGCTTGGAAGCTGCTGGCAGGGTGAATTCTGGTGAGGGAGACGGGGGGGGGGGGGGGGGGGGGGCGGGGGGCGCACAAAAGGGCAGAAGTGATGAGAAGTGTTCTCTGGTACTGTGACTTGTACCAGTCTATCTGAGGAGACTCCAGAGAGCTCACTGGCAGCATCCTCAGATCATGACAGTCCTGTGGCTGGGTGAGGAGAGGCATTGTTTGGTCCCTTTATCTCCTGTAGTGCGGTCTTCAAGGTCCCCACACTTTTGAAAGAGAGCAGGACTCACATCAAAAGAGATGGTGTGTTGACATTCGGATCTAGAGACATCAGGTTTTCATTCTCTAAATGCTTTGCCTCAAATGTTTAAGGATGAGAGTATGTCTGTGCATACATTTATTGAAGACTTTTAGTTTGAGAGGGACATCTGTAGTTCTTGGGAGTGGCATGCTGTCACTTTCTCATGTTTGTGTCCCCAGGGCCTAACTCCAGAGCCAAGTTCTCTTTCTTTTTTCTAAGTTTTGGTGTGTGTGTGTGTGTGTGTGTGTGTGTGTGTGTGTGTGTGTGTGTGTTGTATACATGTGTGAGTATGTACACAGTTCAGTATCATCTTCCTCTATTACTCTCCATCTTGTGTTTTGAGACAGGGGCTCTCACTGAACCGAACCCGGAGTGCACAGACTTTGTTAGGCTGGTGGCCCATGAGCTTCAAGGATCCACCTGTCTCTGTCTCTGCAGACACCCTCACCACACTAGCTTTTTATGTGTATGCTGGGGATCCAAACTCAGACCCTTAATTCGCATAGCAAGTACTTTACTCGTTGAACCATCTTCTGAGCCCTGTGAGCTCTTAGCCAGGTTGCACAGAAAAACAAAAACAAATTTACTCTCAACACCACTTCTCTCACTTGGTCTGAAGCAGTTGGTCTAACTTAGGATGGAGATCTTGGTAGCTTCAAGAATGAGCTGCCATCCTCCATCCATGTGAGAGCTCTGCAGGCAAGTGCTGGAATGACCAAGGTCCTATTCCACGTGGCTTCTCCAGTATCCCCAGGTAGGAGCAGGATAGGGGGTGAGAGCAGAGGCTTTCACTCCTCTACTTCTGCTGCTCACTTTCCCTGTTTCCCCTGCTTTGTGTGTGTGTGAGTTGTTGTTTGTGGACTTTTACAATTAAGCATTTGGTTTCTTTGTTCACTGTGTTTATCTCTGTGTTCTCTGAAAACTTGTATTTAATGGTCATTCTTTCTCAATACGATAGAGTTCCTGACCTCCTCCTACACTAAATGGAACTTTAAAAGTCTTTTCTGTCTCTCCTCTTTTGTTTTCTTTTGCTATGGTGTTCATTCTGCCCCTGCTTTGATACTCTTCCATTTCAAAGATTGTCTCTGCTTGTAAAACCCATGACTAGCCATGCACTCATGGAACACTCAGGGTTAAGCTAACCAGGTGAAGTTGATCCTTTACCCTGGTTCTCTTTGGGGCATTTTAGACATGCTTCTCGTACCGTCCAGATGCCTTATTGACACAGTCTTCATATGGTTTCCAGGCCATATTTTATCCCAAGTTTTTGAATATATGGAAGCATCCTTGTTTGCTGATGAAAAGAAACACTGAAGGAATGCTAAACCATCCTGGACATAGCTTCATGCTGTCTTTTGAGAGACAGGGGCTCATGTAGCCTGGGTTGACTTTGAACACTTGGCCATCCTCCTACCTCAGTCTCTTTCCAAGTTACAGGAGTACATCCCTGACTTTAGACCTAGACTGCTTGGTTTTAAAATCTGCCAATTAGTACTTGTGGCTCACATGGATCGCCCAGGAAATGGGACATAAGATGCCTACCTCATCCATGTGTCAGCAAGTGGGACCAGATGTTCAGGGCTCTGGGTAGAGAGAATATGTATCACAATGCTGGGCACAGGGCTCACTCACTAAATCTTGACTTGGATTTGCTAGGTTTTTCCAATAAATTTCTAATAGATTTTCTATAAACACAGACATTTTTAAGTGTCATACTATTTTTATCTTGTTCCTCCTTTTCTTGTTGTTCTGGAACTTTCTCCAATGTTATGTTCTACTAATCTGAGCCTCAAAATACCTCTTCTCTAATTAATCCCCTTAAAGTTTTCAAAGGAAAATAATGTTTTCAGCTCTGTAATTGACTACAGCTACCATCTGCCCTGCCTCCCATGGCAGCTGCCGCTTCTTGCTCTTTCTCTGGCTATTGGGATTGTTGGTGATGGTAACACTATTATCCACTAACTTTCTATCTATCAGCATCCAATAAGAAGCTGCAGTTCCAGCAGGCGAGGGCCATCCAGTGGTCCTTGTCATAAAGGTCATCTAATTACCCAGCCAAGGACCTATGAGGCCACTTTGAAGATACCAGGAAGAAACCTTTTCCTCCACATCCCCAGGTCCCAGCTTTGCAAAGCAGGAAACTCTCTACCTGCCTGTTCCAGAGCCTGGCAGGATCCTCAGCCTCACTTGATCCAAAGAGCCCTGGGTCACCACCTCCTACAAAGGTCACCGGGTGTTTGAGTCCCAGTCCCCACCACCCCTTCCCCCTCAGCCCCTAGTCCCGAGGTCACTGGGTGTCTGAGCCCTGGTTCTCCCCACAAAGTCACCTGGTGTCTGAGTCCTAGGTCTCCCCTCAAGGTTACTGTATGTCTAAGCCCCAGTTCTTCCCACCAGGTCACTGGGTGTTCATGTTGTAAGAGTCTGAGGCCATTACCCACAGCTATCAGTCCAGGATCGTAAGCGCAGCTTGGACACAGATGGGAAAAGCCCCACCAGTTTTCATAATGTCACACAAAGCGTTCATGTAGAAGCACTGTTTATGACTTGAGTCATGGGTTAGAGGGAAGACCTGAACAAATGGAAAGTAAATAATTGTATTCTTTGCTAAATCACTCACAGGTCAGATATGTCAAAAGGTCACTAGAACTTCCTAACTGATGAGAAGACATCTTTCCAATGGTTTCTCTCAAGGCTGGATGAGCAGACAACTGAGGGAGAGGACTCTTCCACGGAGCTGCCTGCAGCTTGGGCAGAGACGTCCCACAGATGTGGCGCTTGTAAATCATGTCCCGTGCTCAGGGAGGAGATGTAGCTGGCTGAGAGTTACCCATGCTCCTTTGAGTAACCCCAAGAAACTCACTAGTTCACCCAGCCAAACTTGCAGAATCATTTCTTGAGTCTACCATTGGTGTCCTATATGGGACAAACAGACATTTGCTCACATCTTCCAAGGAAAATTCACACACAAAAATGACAATTCAATATTATGTTTGCAAAGACTGATAACTCAGGCCCCCAAACCTTCCATTTTATGCTCATATGATCTCAAAAATCTCTTTCAAAATAGTCATAGAATAGTTTAAATTAATTATTTTACCACATACTTTCTAGGTTGCTTCCCAGGGCTACAACCATATTTAACTTTAAAATGATTGGCGTCTGAAACATGAAGTTAAATGGTACTTAAAAGCTACTTAAATATTTGCTAGTAAAATAGTTAAGAAGGAAAGGAAAGGAGGAGGAAGAGAGGCAGGCATGAGAAAAAACAAGATCATAATTTATTGTCTGAAGAAAAAATAAATCTGTTCAGATTCACTTAAACAATTAGTTGATTTTGATTTTGTGGCAAGGTCCCATCTGTACCACAGGTTGACCTGGAATTCACTACATCCCAAGGCTAGCCTCCTATTCACAGCACTTCCCCAGCCCCAGTCTCCAAAGGACAGGATTCCAGGTATACACCACCACACCCACCTATTCATTTTAAATAATCATAAGCTAGTTTACTAATCCTAAGCACATAGCTTCATAGAATAGATGGGGTTGGGAGAGAGCTCTGCTATTTCAACTGTGGAGAGTCATTTCCTTTTTGTAGTTTTCATTTTCCTCACTGGTAGGATGTAGATCAGTAGTTCTCAACCTGTGGGTCAAGACCCATGTGGAGGCACCTGCATATCAGATATTTACAATTCATAATAATAGCAAAATTGCAGTTATGAAGTAGCAATGGAACAATTTTATGGTTGGGAGTCATCACAACATGAGGAACTGTAGTAAAAGGCTGCAGCTTTAGGAAGGTTGAGAAGCATCGCTGTAGAGAACAACCTCTGATGCATACCTTGAGAGTTTCAGAAGAGGATTCTTCATGCACATCTGTGTACTTACCCCAGTGCCCGGCACCCACCTGGCATTCTCAAAAGTGATAATCATCATGGCTAGTAATTTACCTGGGGATTGGAAAGAAAATATGGACGGCCATTCTTCAGCTGAAGGGCAAAATACTCCTCCTGGTTGTCAGGGGACACTGCGAGGATGATCAGCCCTTCAGGCATCCTTGTCCGGAAGCTAGCCTTGATGCCTGGAGATGCAAGTGGCATCGGTAAGTCACGGCTGTAGTTTTGTTGATTCTTTCTGATAAATGTACATTTACTTTCATTATTATTTATGATGCAGTGAATACAGTCAGGAAATTATACACAGCAATGTGCTGGGATGGCCCTAGTCAATGGGTTTAAATATATACCGTGTTAAAGGCTAAGTAGCACTTGGAAATTATGTTACCCTCATGTTAATCAATATAAAATGAACTCTAAATATGTGCAAAAAATCATGCACCTGAAAAGACACGATGTCAAACCCAAAATTGGATACTTAATAGTATCAGTTTGAAAATATTATCAGAGGGTCCTAAAAAGTAAATGACTTTTTGACAGAAAGGAAAAACTCCAAGGGCCTTATTTAAATACCTGTGAAAATGAAAGAATCAGTTCAGCAATAGATGTTAAAACAAAAAGACCTGGATAAGCTGGCTTCTTGGAGCTGGTTGAGTCAGCAAACAGTGGCAGCCTTCAGAATTGCAGTCATTACTGACCCTTCAAACCACACACACACCATTCAATACTCTAATCTCATAGGACTTCCTAGCTCAGGCAATGGGAGCAATTTGCAATGTTCCTCTCACAGACATTGCTAGGACCCATCGGCCCCATCTCCAGTCTTGGGATCCCCCACCTACACAGCACATATGGGAGAACTCTTCCTGTATAGAGGGTGTCTAGCTGAAGGTGCTGAAGCTGGCAGTCAGGGCTGAGTACCACGGTCTCATTGGAAATATAAAATGAACAGAGCAGACTGTGAGAATAAAGAGATCAACAACACACCTGAAAATCAAACAAAAGCTAAAACACAATAATAAATAATGAATGAATTCTGATTTAAGCAGTAATACACAATAGGCCAGGATTATAACCACTTGAAAAACTCTCCCTTTAGGCTGGGCTAATAACTGAAGGACCTACAGGGATGGATAAATTTCATTTTGTTGCTATGTTGGGGGGAGCATTTGTTTGAATTTACAGGTTTTAATCCACTATTGAGGGATTTCAGGGTAGGAACTCAAGCAGGAACAGGGGCTTAGAGCAGAGACCTTGAAGGAGCTGCTTCTGGCTCACCCAAGGTTCATGTGAGGCTAGCTTTCTGATACAGCCCAGGACCACCAGCCCAGGGATTGGTGCTACCCACAGTGGGCTGGGTCCTCTGACATCAATTAGCAGTCAAGGCCATCTTGTCTACCACCTCTGGATATGTTCATAGGACAATCCAGTCTGGCAAACACTCTTCTCAGATGACGCATTCTAGGCTGTGTCAAGTTGACTCAGCTTTGGTTCAGTGGTAAAGACCTCAGGACCCATTCTTGGTCCATCTTCCCACTCCATTCTCTAACACAGTATATAGATGTATTTCATAAGTATATTGAGATTTGAGGTGAAAAAATGGGAGATGGGAGGTTCAACTGACCATTAGGTTTTGATCTTCTCTTTGCTCTCAAATGCTATGACTAAAATTATGGCTTTCAAGCTAAATAGCTCAAGGGCATTGAATAAAAATAGCTGTAATTCAGGACATGAAGGGTACACTGCTCCCTACTGATGGGCAGGATGGCATCTCTAGAGCAGCAGCAGAGACGATGGAAGTCAGGGATTGAGTGAGGGAAGAGGAAAACAGTTATCCAATCTGAGTATACTGTTGTCTATAATTTGAGAAATCTGGGGAATGAAAAATATCCAAGGATTATGGGAATATGTAAATACTTAAGATGCATTTGGGAATATTTTACTTTTTACATGCCATTCAAAGAGTGTACAAATGCATGTGTTTCTCAAAATACAATAATTGGCAAGCTTTCTAGAACAAAGAAATGTCTTTTAGACCAACAAATACATGAAGCTGTATTGAGAAGTGTCTCCCATGAAGGGAAAATGAAGTACAATAAAGGACGTCTTGATTTGATGGTGTCAGCTACTCTTTCTCAGTCTTGACGTCTTTTTCCTCTATGTTTTCCAAGATGAATAGAAAATGATTTTCTTTCTCCTAGACCCTAGGAGGAAAATGAAAACTTACTATTTTATTGAATCATGTTCTTAATAATTAGATTACTATAGCTATCCATATAGACAAATCCTAGCATTTGAGCCAAATGCTTACTTTGTATAATCAATTATTTAAATGAACCAAACTCACAAATAAATATATGTAAATATAAACATAATAATAGTTTGATGGATGTATGAAATAAAGAAAATGTTATTGAATTTACAATGAGGTAGAATGGTTAAATGCACAATTATTCAAAATAATTAACACCCCCTTTTCCCCAAAGAAAGCCACATAGTTACAGATTCCCAAGCGCTGACTTAGGCTCGCCATGTGACTGTCATTGACCAAAGGAATGAAAGCAGATATGAAGCCCTTTGTGGGGGCAGAGCCTCCCTCCCCTCACTCCCTTCTGCCTCACACACGTGTTTCCATCTTGGGTCTAGGAGAAAGAAAACTTGTGGACCACAGCCAAACAAGTGAACCAACAGCTTCACTGTAGATGATTGTGTGAAGAAGCTACAGTACAGCTCAAAGAGGCAGCAGAGTGAATAGCAGCTTTCTCCTTCCTAAAATGGGGATCTATACTTTTTTAAGGCAAGACAAAGAGGAAAAGAACTAAATTTCATTATCTGCATTTAGAGAAGAGAAATAGTAGTGTGCTTGTGTTGTTTCTAAACTTATACATTTATTTGAGAAATATTTAAGGTACCAAAATTCAGTGGCTAGTGGGACAAGTATCAGCAAATATGTCCAGTGGTTATGTATACACAGATATATTTGAGTGTATATGTATACACACACTATAACAAGAAAGAAAAAATATATGAAATAAAACACAGTATGTATAAGACTAGACAAATGCCAAATTCATAAACAAGTAGATGGAGGATAAATTCCAACTCTGATGAGAGCTAGGCACTACACTTATCTGGGGATACAAGGGCAGACATTTAGAATACAGTTGGAAATCATACTGCTTAAGGAGTGTGGCAACAGTAGATTAACCTCAAGGGTCCATGACTTTACCAGCCACAGGTGTTGGTTAGATTTGCAGTGCCAAACGTTGATTCCCTCTTACTGAGGGGAACTTAAGTTCAATTAGATGGCTGTGGGTTACTCCTATCAGGAGTCTAACCCCAGTTAATCATCTATAACACAACTCTGCACCTAAGGAGACGTTACAGAAGTCAGGACAGAAAAACTGGAAGTGACAGAGGACAAGGATGTCTGCTATGAGATAGTATCTTCCAAGCATGCCAGGGAGCTGTACGCATGAAATAACAGATCTGCACAGTGTGGTATACAGTTCACTCCTGTTGCCTGTGGGTTAAGATGTAGAACTCTTAGCTCCTTCTCCAGCACCATGTCTGCCTGCATGGTGCCATATCCCGTCCTGATGATAATAATGGACTAAACCTCTGAAACTGTAAGCTACCCCAATTAAATGTTCATAAAAGTTGTGGTCATGGTATCTCTTCACAGAAATAGAAACCCTAACTAACTAAGACAATGCTCATTTCCCCACTTTTCTATATGCTATACTACAATAGAAAATTCAATCGAGAACAAATGCTGAATAGTTTTGTAAGTTTCAACCCCAAAGAAATTGTCGAAATAGGAAGCTTTATATTCACATGCTTTTCCAGGAGAATGTTTGTTCCTCCACACTCTGATTGAAAATAGGTATTTCAAAACACAAAGATTTAATGTTGTTTTTGTCTAGTTGTTGTATTATTGGTGATGGCAAAACATTCAAATAAATTAACCATTGGTATTCAGTATTTTTAAAATTATACATGCATTTCTTCACCCAGTTTCAAATCTCTGTGGCCATTTCTGTATAATATATAGGAACCTGTTGCACAGTAAGTGTTGTCAAGGACTGCAAAGTACTATCCTCTTTGTCCTAGAGTGTGGAAATCTCTCACATCTGGTCTCCATCATTTTACACACATACACACACACACTTTCACACTCACACACATTCACACTAAGTACATGCACATATTAACACTCACATAGCATACACACATATTCACACTCACATACACAGCACACACATTTACACTCACACACACATTCATACCTTCACACACATTCACACTTATATACATATAGCACACACACATTCACACAGCACACACATATTTACACACACACAGCACAAACACATTCACACTCGTACACACATTCACACATACAACACAAATATACATTCACACTTACATACATTCACGTTCAAACATACTCACATTCACACTCACACATAGAATATACACACTCATGAACTCACACACACATTCACATACACAGCACACTCACATTAACACACACATTCACACTCACATACATAGCACATACATTCATACTCACATACATATTTACTCTCACATGCACAGCAAACACACATTTATACGCACACTCACAGCACACACATATTCACACACAAAGCACACACATTCATACTTTCACACATATTCACACTTACATACACACAGCACACACACACACACACTTAAATACCACTCACACATTCATACTCATACACATTCATATCGCATATAAATCACACTCATGCAATAACTACAAACACATTCACACACACAGCACACAAACATTCACAACCATACACATTCACACTCACAGGATAACCACAAACACATTCACACACACAGAACACAAACATTCACACTCACACACATTCATACTCATATACACTTGCACTCACACAATAACCACAAACATTTTCACACACACAGCACGCATGCATTCACACTCAAACACATTCACATCCATACACATTCACACACATTCACACTCACATACCCCCATATGCACAGTACACATTCACTTTATTCTTTTTATAAAATAACAGTCAGAGTGATCCACCAGAAGAATTCCAGTCCCATCACTGCCTATTCCTAGTGCTGGCCCAAGGCTAAGAGTCTCACTCTAAAGGCTCCACTGTGTCTCCCGTTTCTT